GAGTGGACTCCTGGAGATCAGCCTGGTGTTTGGCTGTGGATCTCTGCATCTGCCTCCATCAGTTACTGGAGAAAGACTCTATGATGACAGTTAGGGTATTCACTGATCTGATTACTGGGGTAAGCCAGTTCAGGCACCCTCTCCATTATTGCTAGTAATCTAAGCGGGGGTCATCCTTGTGATTCCTGGGAACTTCCCTAGCACCAGATTTCTTTCTAACTCCATGATGTCTCCCTCTATCATGGTATCTCTGTCATTGCTCTCCCACTCCATCCTTGTTCCAGCTTGACTACCCTGTTCCCTTATGTTCTCATCCCTCATGCCCTACCTTTACACTGGGAAGGAGAAATAGATGAGATCTCCATGAGTAAACTGTGGGCAAGACTGTTCTATTTTTATCTCTGTAATGAAGACTTTAGGCTAATTTTTTTATTGTATCTATACATATCAAATTTTCAGCATTAATAAAAGGCTATGCTGCTGCTGTTATACTATGGTATCAGAATATGTTATCATTTTTTACATTTAAATTGTAATTTTTTCCCAAAGAGGCCATCATATACAGTGAAAGTGAACATCAACTTAACTAAGTAAGTGAGCATGTCACATGTATAACTATGGGACTGAGTTTCTGGGCTGAGTTTATCGGCTAAAAGCTATCAAATTGTGCTCATATGAATCAAAGGCCAGATCTTACAAATCAGGTAAACTGGTATTCCCTTTCTTTTGTGTTGTAAATTTAGCTTGACACATTGGACAGAGGGTCATTCTGACCCAGTTTGGGTCTGGAATGTTGTGACATTTTAGAAACTTTTGTTATCAAATAAACTTCCTTGAGCTAGTGTCAGGTTGCCTGTTAGCTATCGTGTGAAATAAATAATCAAAAGCTCCCAGACAGCACTAAGATCCTGAACTGGTACAGTATGGCTAAAAAAAAAAAAAAAAAAAGAAATTGGCACAAAGTTATATTCAATTGAGGTCTTGTATTCTTGGTAGGAATATAGATAATGACTATCAGTCTTGCTTTGGAAAACAAAAACAGAATCATTAAGCAAAACTGCACAATAACAAGAAGAGCAATAGAGAGAAAAATAATTGTATTTTGGAAAGAGGAAATTGTTTAAAAACTTAGATAAATCAAACCAAATTCACAATGTTTCTATAATTAGTATATATATACATATATATATGTATATATATACATATATATGTATATATTTAGAAGTATGTGTTGTACACACTACTTGGAAATTTAAGAAGCAGTTATAATGATTCTTAAGCCAAGACCCACCATGTTTTTGGTTTTTTTTTTTTGCACACTCTTATCAACTACCCCAACTAGATAATCATTCACTCTCTGGTAAAGAGCAGAATTTTATTCCAAAGAAAACATAAAAAGGTCTCTAAACGGCACACACATCACAACATTAACTAGGAGAAAACTTCTATTTGCTGAGTCCCAGTGCATCATTGTGCTCATCCTCTAGACTCACCTTCTACGGCACTGGGATAAATAGATAGCACACTTTTCACTTCCCACAAAATATTGCAAAATTTTAAAGTCATTATCAGCATCACCCCTCCCCCACAAGTCACCAGCTACAGTAAACTGATATGAGAAATAGAGATGAAACTCACATAGAAAGCAACCAGAGGAAAAATTGTGTGTTTTTCTACCACATGCTTTTACAAATAGATGAAAGGTAATACTCCTGCTGTATTGCAAGTATAAAATTCACTTTGAAAAAGAGGGCAGAAGCAGATCTTCTCTAATTTAAAAAAAAAAACCCAGAAATTAAAAAAAAATAATTAAGTGTTTGGAATACAGGTGAGTTAAAACTGAATAAATACAAAGTACCAGCCAAAAAAAATTAATGCTGAGAATTCTAGAAAAGAACATAGGTAATACAAGAAAAAGATTCACTACTTAAGTAAAATAAATTCCAAAGAAATGGTTGGGTTAAATATTTGGGTTAAGGGCACACAGTTCTTTCTGCATTAGACAAAAACGTGGATGCCTTTATTGTTTCTTAGTTTTGTAGAAATGAGAATGTGTGGAAATTCTTAAAATTTTCAGAGATAAATGTAAGCTGCACAAACATAACTTTTAATGTACTTTTATCGATAAGTCATGAAATTACTACTATTGTGTATTGACTATGCTTGGAGGATGAGCTGGCTGTTGTGGGAAGAATGCTGGGGGGTAAGTCTAGTGCATGCTTCCGGATGCTGCAGGAAGCATGAAGCTGTAGAAGGCTAATACACCCTTTACCGTGGTGAAAGTAATGATTGGTGACTTACCAAGAACTATTAAGAAGTAGTGAAAGACACTTTAGTATATAATGGCTTGAAAGAGTGGATCGGCTAACAGTGCTGGTAATATCTGTCTCAACAGAAAGAGAGAGAAGGAAAAAAGGAAGCCACAATTTTATAAACATGGCATTTTCTATGTCAATATATACATTTTATTTATGAAACGATTTATCAGTAAATTTTTTCACATAGTTGAACCTTAGAATTCCATCTGTAGTCATCTGTTTCTGCTTAACATATCAATGTTTATAATATCAAAATCATAAAAATCTCAAAGTATACAAAATAAAGGAAAATTAAATGAAATATTCATGATGTATATCACAGGAAATTTTGTACTCATTAAACATTTGAAGGGTTTTAGCATTTTAAAATTCACACATATTAATGTTAAATGAAAACATGAGATGAAAGATTTATATTTAACATGACTCAACCTAATACAATTGAAAAAAATCACTATGATGTGATTAATTTTAAGAGTAGAATTTTTCATATTGTGCTTTTAAATTTCCTATATCATATTAAATATTACATAATAAAAATTTTATTTTACATATAAAGATTTTGGAACTTAGAAATCTATGAAACTATTATTAAATATTTTCTCTTTAGGTTAAATGCTGTTCACTATATTTTCAAATTTGATCAAAACTAGCAAATATAATTTGAACTCATGAACCTAATGTAAATGGTAATATGATTATTACTTTTCCCATTTTGCTTAAATGAAAAAAGTTTCCTAGGTTAATAAAACATTTATAGCTTTCCTCGGGAATAGAATTAGGAGTTAAGGGTCAGACCCTGCTGGTAGGAGCCTCTTATTATTATCATCATCATTCTAGATTGTTATGCAGTCAAAATGAAGGGATCTGGTTTGGGAGGTGGTGGTTTCTCTCTCTCTCTCTCTCTCTCTCTCTCTCTCTCTCTCTCTCTCTCTCTCTCTCATAGCTTCAGAACTCTCATAACTTTTTATCTTCAAAATTGAAAGAGGCAAGAATAGAATTTTCTGAAAAGTCTTCTGGTTACAGATATGACTTAACAGAAGAATGTATGTATTCATACATTTTCCAGGCAAAGGTATAATAAGAATGTACAACTGAAACAAATAATTTATGACTATAGAGTGTTAAAGAACCAAGAAAAATGTAAAAGCAGTCAATCAATAAACCTTGCTCTGTTTCAATTTCATCACTGAGTTCCTTCCCTGTGTTTTAACTGAAATGGACAAATGACCCTATACAATCACTGTTCTAACTCTGGAGACTTGAAGTGGCTGTGTAGACATGGTGTCATCCACCTTTTAAAATTCTTCATGTCCTGAGGAAAACTCATGTCACCCAGTAAGTCTGTTCAGAGGAAGGAGGATACACCCAGCTCAGTGGTGGACACAGAGGGGGCTCAGGAAAGGATTTTGTGCTTCCATATTGGTGTAGCCCTGATATTTGGCTGATACATAACACAAAGTGATTTGTATTGAATGGTGGGATTAACTTGTGAAAGAGGTGGCATAAATGCTTTCCAAGTCAAGTGGTCAGGGAAGGTGGTATATTCCAGAGCCTAGCTGCTCCGGACCAAGTGCCTGCTGCAGTTCCAGAAATAGTGTGAAGAGATAAGCAAATTTCCACTGCATAATGTGTGATCTTTCGTGGCTTCGGATGCATGGGAAGAATGCAGATTTATGCCTATATTTGCTATTTTTTAAATGAGCAAAGATGAAATGTAGAGCTCAAACACATAAACCCACTAATAAAATTGCTGACTAAAACAAATTTGAAAAGTACGCAAGTGACACAGATCTACTCATTTAATTGCCTTTAGAAACCTCTAAAAGCCTGTGGGCTTTGGGATAACACAATGATTGCTTAAATGTATATTTCTTTTCCCCATGTGACCTTATTGCCAAATTATTTCAGAGGTATTATCCAATATATCTTTTCTCCTGGAAAAGAATTATTAAAATTAGTAATGAATTATCTTATTGTCTTTACTTAGCTGAATCTTTTACAGTCAGACGGAATATTTTAGTAGGGGTCCTTTCTATAAATTTTCTCTTTTCTGCGCCTTGTCTTACCTAATTCAAAGGATACCACAAAAGTCCTGTATTCCTCTGTGAGAATGGCTTGTAATAACCAGAATGGGGAGTGGATCTGAAGGGGCCAATGATTTTGACATCGATACTGACTTATTCATTGGAAAGAAATTGCTTTCCATGTTATTCAAAGTTCAGCTTCATGCATACTATAGTCTTTTTGCAATATTGTCATTACTTAGATATTTAAAAACACAGAAATGTAGAAAAATAATTTTCTGTGTTAGTTTTTCTCAAAGGTCACTGACAGAACCTCAGAAATGGTGAACAAATAATTTCACCTTTGTTGATCTCTCTGGAGAGTCATAATCAATAGGTCCAAAGTTCTAACTCCTTCTCCTGCCAGTATTTTTTATCCAAAATTAAACATGGTAACTGTGAAGTGTTTTTGCAAGTGGAAACAAAAGATTTCTTATTTCTTTTCGATGACAGGGAATCAGTAATATGTGAAATTTATAAAATATATGGTTACTTAAAAAAAGCATTTTAGACTCTTAGGTTCTAACCACTTAGTTCGTTTTCTGTTACTGTAAAGAAAGCATCATGACCAAAGGCAACTTGAGAAGAGAAAGTTTATTTTCAATTATTTCAGTTCCTCCAAGTGATGAGTCCATGATGGTGGGGCGAAGGCATGGCAGCAAGCGGTAAGCCTGGCGACAGGAATAGACAGGTGAGAGATCATGCCTTTAACTACAGCATGAAGCAGAGAGAGGAAATCGGAAGTAAAACACAGTGACGAACTCCCAAAGATTACCCCAGTCACTTACTGCTTCCAGCTAGTCTGCAACTTCGAAATATTCCCAAACAATACGTTATCTCCAAATGTTTTGGGTTGCATACACAGCTATCTTCTGCAGTGTATGGGCCGCTGGTGGCCCCCACCTGGGATAGCAACAACAAATTAGGTGATGTTTGTTCTTTATTTTGGGCTGCCCGTTGAGCTCCTCCCATTTACTTCACCTGCCCGCCAATGCTGAAAATGGAAGGCTACTTACAGTATTTTTCTTCTCCTGAAAGTGAGTAAAACTGAGCAGGCACACTCACAACTCCCATGTGATACTGTCATTGCTGTGGCCCAGTAGGTCACATGAGCATGCATATGTCAAGCACCAATAAGGTATATAGTCTACTTACAATGGGGAAGTGAGGGAAAAGAGTTTTGATAAATAGAAAGATAAATAATACAAGATATCACAGAGGATATATAGGTCCCATTTAAGAGAAGAAGTTGAGTGAGGCTTCTTGGTGAGAGTGGCAAAAAGCCCATTTCCTACTTTTTTCAATAAATTATATTAGAAATGTAATACTTTCATTTTACTCTTTGTTCATACCTGCTGATGCCTGGCTTCTCATCTCCTATGCTCCTAGAATTTCCAATGTATCTCACGTTCTGAATCTCTTCCCTCAGCTCATATACACCACTTTACTGATAGAATCAAGGTTCCTAATAACCCAACAGGACATGGCCATTGAAAGGAAGCCAGTCAGGGACTGGAGTGGTTAATAAATAGCTCTGTTTTGGAATACTGAGAAGTAAAGTGGAACAAAGTTGAACAATTAATTTTTATGGGTAATCTCTCAAACTTGTACCAGCAATTAAATTAAAAGGAGCCCAGTGCACCCAGACCAACCAATAAATGTTATGATAGTACTACAACAGAAAAGAGAAAAAAAAAACTATCAGCATAGGATAGTTGTATAAAACCTCCATAAATCTCCTTATCTTCATACAGTTAAAGTATATAGATAAAAAATGAGAAAATAAAGCTGATTTCCTAGCTGTTCAGGGAAAAAATGTCTTCAGAAAGTATTGAAAATCAATATATGAGAGAATGTGTACATTATTTCCTTTGGGTATATGGGAAGAATGCAAATATTATAGTTCAGATTTTGGCTATACCATATTTGATTATCCATTCTCCTCCTAATGGCCATTTATTTTACTTGCAATTTGAGCTACTATAAGTAAGACTGTTTCAAACAAAACAGTATTGCTTTTTTGTTTTTGTTTATGTTTTGAAATATATTTTTAAGGAATTTTCTACTCATTTTACAAAGCAATCATAGATCCCCTTCTCTTCTCTCTCCCTACTCCTTTACCCTCCCCCTCAACCCACTCCCCATTCCCTCCCCCAACAAGGTAAGGCCTCCCATGGGGACTCAGCAGAGCTTGGGGCATTCAGTAGAGGCAGATCCAAGCCCCTCTGCCTGCATCAAGCCTGTGAAAGGTGTCAATCTCAAACATATTTCTTGCATGATCTGCTAATGAAGACAGTTTGACATTTTCCCGGGTGAAATAATTTCGGAAGAATTCATGTGACATTGTAGTCAACTTAAGCGCCAGAGGAATAGGAAGTACCCTAGGACACTGTGTTTTCTAGAATTGACCAGGAAGTTACACCCATGAAATCACAACAATATGGGTTCCTAAACAAAATATGAAAAATGACACCACTAGCCATGCTAAGGTAGGAGAAGGAAAGCTCATGGGGACAGTTAAGACTGCTGAATGAGGGAGAATTAGTCTTCCCTGTGGATAAGCCCCCAATGTGGTGGTTCTCCAGTACCAGAAGGAAGGCCTGAAATTATATACACAGAACCAGAACTAAACTGACAAAGTGGGTTGCATTTACATACATGTATGTAACAATAAAAATTTTTAAAAGCAGTCAAGAGTTTGAGAAGGAAACATGGGGAACATAGGACAGTCTAGGAGGAGGAGAGAAAATAGAGAAGCAATGTGATTATATATTAATTTTTTAAAATGGCAAATAGAAATGTAAGACTGAAAATACAGTTCAGTTGGTAGAGTGCTTGCCTTTCACGCACAAAGCTTTGGGTGCAGTCCTCAGTACAGCATAATTCAAACTTTTTTATAAGTCTTTTGTGGCTACATGTCTTCATTTCTCTCAAGTTCCTGAAAGGAATGGTCAAGAGATATGGAAATTCATGAGAAGCCATGAAACAATTGTCAATGTGATTTTTCCTTTTTATTCTTCCATGGGTAAGGTTAGAATTTATATTGCTTTGCATGGTTATTCTTATTTGGTTTTATCAGACTTACTTTAAAATTGTCACTGCGCTGAAGTGAATGTACTACACAAAGTTTTCCGTGGAATCATTTTAGTATGAAGATTTCAAACGAGGAGCACAGAATACTTTTTTTGAACATTCAGGGTTTTTTTTTTTCAATCTTATCATTGTTTAATGGTTTTAAGTTCATTGTGTGATCTTTACTTGATACTATTGAGAGATCTATCTCCTGCAAGTAATTTCTCCAGTTGCATTTTCTTAATGATAACTATTAGTGAAGGGGAAGTTTGGATTTCAATGAAGCTTCCTTTACCAATTACTTTTCTTTCATGAAATAAATATTTTTTGTTCAATTAATGTTCCTATTTCCATTTCACTTCACTATTCTCCAAATACAATATTAATGCCTTGTGTTTTATTTCTGAGTTATTTGGAGCTGTAAGTTTTACTTGCAAGGCTATGATCCAGACTTTTGAAAATAAAGATTAGCATAAATATCAAGGTCTTTGATTTTTTGGCTGCTAGAACTGCTGAGTTTAATCTGCAATAGTCAATAGCACCTTTTTAAACATATATGAATCTGCAACAGGAATAGAACCTATTTCAAACATTCTTTCTCTGTAAAATTAGCTATTTCTGTCAAAAATCAAACTGATCACAAATGGATGAGCCTAACATAAATAGCACTTTTTAGCCTGCAAAGAAGGCAATGCAATTTATCTATTTTGTCCAATTGGGTAGCTGTAGGGTAATTGTGAAATTTACTTATCTCTTTCATTTGCCCCATTTTAGATGTCTTTATTCTGAAGTCTTCCTTGATTATTCAAACTTATTAATATTTTTAGTGGATAGCTTAATCGAGCTCTTGTCCCAAATGCTCTACCATCCAATTAAAATTCTAAAATAAGCTCCAATTTTTAGGCAGAAAGTTATAAGAAAGACCTTGTATCAATACTCCAGGGGGCTAGTAATGTAAAAATCACTTTTTATTTGCATTAAGTACCAACTTTTAGAATATAGCTTGCTATGAAATTTCCTCGTAATTATCATGAAGACACACATATTAATGGAATGAGTAGCAGTATTATAATAATTATCAAAGGATATTTCCCATATGTACTTTCCAGAGATAGTGCTGGAAAGATTTCAGATGCCTGAGGCTTGTCCAAATGAAGTGTGAGTTATTAACATGCATGATCTTTAAGGGATTTAAAAATTCAGTAATAATTGAAGTGTACATATTTATGTGTTCATATATTTTTCTGTGTTCTTTTAGATATGGGTTTTGCTTGTGTCATGGTTCACATTTAGATAACAAGAGAGTGCTTATATTTTCAGCTACCTGGTGAGAACATGAATAATTTCTTTAACAGACAAAAAATAAAGGAATCACCTTGAATGTGCTAGGCAAGAGCAACCTGAGGGTCAAAATGATTAAACATAATATGGTATTCTGAAGGAAATTTTGGAACAAAAATTGGTATCACACAAACATTAAGAAATATGAGTAAAGTATGGATTATTCTTAGTAATGTATATATTATTTCATGCATTATTATGAATATAGCAATATAATAGTGAAGGAAATGAGGCTTAACCACAAGAAAACTTTATTATATGTGAATTTTTTCTATAAATCAGAAACTTTTCTATAATTAGTTTGAAAATGAGTAATGAATGCAAGGAATCTCACCTCACTTTTTACATCTTGACCTTTAGTTTTCTGTAGCCATATGTGAGATAATTGAAACACTGTGGTTCAATAATTTTTCATCAATATAAAAAATATGAATACTGGCACATGGAATTATTTCCTTATGGAAAATGCGATAACCATTGTTTTACTAGTAGTAAATACATAAGTTTTAACAACCAATTTTTAACATAGTAAAGTTAAGAAAGGTAACTTCACAGTGTATAATCATAGGCTACAATAAAATCTTTTAGCATGCTGTATGGTATAATTTACTAAATGGAATGTGGCTACCCACAATTATTCCTTTATTTGTCTATTTTTTAAGGTATACAACTCTAAAAATGAGCAATTCACAACTGATTACCAAGAAAATAAGTCCCATTAACTGTATCAACTGCAAAAATGAATTTAACTAATCAAAACACAAATGCACTAAAAATGCAAAACGTGCAACAGTAAATTTCCCAATGTCTTGTTCACTAAAGCTTTCACTGCTTGTGGTAAACTGCAAAGCAATCAAGGACAATAAATGCTCAGATGTAATATGGTTGTGAGTACCAATGAAGTCCTGTGTTCACAGAGAAAAAAAGTAACATTCAGAAAATCAATCAGAAATTCTACCCTTCTCATGTCAAAGTCACTCCCATTATTTTCATGACTTTAGAATTGTGTGTGTGCATATGTATGTGTGTGTTTGTGTGTGGTGTGCATGTGTGTACATGTGTGCATATGGGGACCAGTCATCAATTTCAGATTTATTTAGATATTGTTTACCTTGTTTCTTTTCTTTTTAATATTTTACTTTATGTGTGTGAATGTTTTGCCTGCATGTATATATGCTTTCTATTTATATGCCTGGTGCCTCTCGATGTCAGGTGAGGAAGTCAGATTCCCTGGATCTGGAGTTCAAGTGACAGTTGTGAGTTTATGGTGTTTGCTTTGGAAAATTCTGGTCCTGTGCATGAGCACCAAGGCTAATAACCACGGATCCATGACTCCACCACCCACACCTTGTTTCTTGAGACACAATCTCTCAGTGGTCTGACACTCACCAAGTAGTCTAGTGTGGCTGTTCAGTGAGATGTAGGGGTCCACCCTTCTCCACCTCCCCAGTTCTGAGATTTCAAGAGCACACTGATACACTAGGATTTGGGGTTTGATTTTGTTTTTATATGTGTTCTGGGGATTGAAATCAGGTCATCATATTTGTATATCAAGTTGACTGAGCTACCTCCCCTGCACATACTTTTTAATTTCTACTGATACTTTCTACCAGTTGGGCCTATTCCTTCAGCTGACAGAAGTATGTCATAGATGTGGACTCCTGCATGTGTCCAGGAATATCTTCTTAAACACAAAGTATGGATAAACACAAAAAGTATGAATACTCAGAGCATCACAAAATGAGTGGAAAGACTTCCAGTCTTGAGGTAAGTCACTTTTTGACTAAGATAATATCCTTGGCTAAGACAATAAACCAAGGAGTCTCTGGGGTCACACACAGACTCCAATAAGAAAGTAAAATATATGAATATGTATATAAATAGCTGCATGGTGAATTTATAAATAAATTATAGAAAGTTAGACTAATGTCTTCAAAATGACCTTATTGACACTCCTGTCCTAAAAATAGCCACATCAGCTCTCCTTGTCTGACTTACAGAAAATGCCCCCAAACAGCCTCAAGCTAAGAGCACTTTCAGTGGTCACAATTTTCTTTAAACATATTGGCGTGC